GAACGTATGTAAAACGCCTATTGCATGTTCGATGAATATTTAAAAATAAACATAAATTCACCCATTTTGGAACGCATACTTTTTACTGTTTTTCAAAGTCTTGAATTTTTTCCAGTTAAGCAATCAATTGAACGTTCCCAAAGACGTTAATGGAATGCTGGCACTAACTTAAATTAAACGTTCATTCAACATGTTCGGGTGCTACTTAGGTGGTAGTGTTTGAAGAACATAGATACTCCTTCCATGACAACAGAGCACTTCATTTACTACAGTTTGCAGCATGTTTACCTGCCACGAGTTTCAATGTAGTCATATTTATATGGTCCAACCTAATTCCGCATCATATTGAATTCGATGTCATTTTCAAGGACAGAGATCCCCTTGTACGTTGATGAGCAAAAATCCCCTCCTTTTCTCTTCATGTACCATAAGTAGATGAGAGAAGTCTATTTCTGCCTTTATATTTGTAATACTTCTGCAGGGAAAACTGTTTCTCTATGATTTTCCTTTTGACCAACATTCCCAAGAATCACTTGAAAAAATTTCCTGCTGCCCTTCACATCGAAGCAAAAAACCTTTAAGAGAAATATCCTAACGAACAATTTTTCGCAACCATACGCGCCAGGCGAAAATCGCCCGCAGGAAGCAAGAACTTCCTCGCTCTTCCCTGGCCAACAGACTCACAGCTTGGCGGTCAGCTTAGTGTATTTTTACTGAGCTTCGTCGATTCCGATCCCTCATTGATACGCCCCAGAAACCATTCAAGGCCAAATATGAGCATTCTGAAATGGAAGAAATCCGGATCCCTTTCAAAGGTTCATCAATCCGTCGAAACAGTACAGGGTCAAGACATACGAAATGAGGACAGAGACAAAACGATACCGAGTGAGAAATTTATGTGATCGTGTCTTGGTCATTTTTTCATGAAAACGAGGGGGGGGGACGCAATGAAATCTGACGTTACTATTGTAGGCTTAATTCAAAACTCGGAATATAGTTCTTCACTGCAGCGGTGTAGTTCTTTACATGAAGTGCTCACTAAAATTCAAATTTTAACGACTCCTTTACTATGTTATAAAGTTCTAACCTTTTCAAAACTTCGTCCCAGACAAATTACGGGCCCTTCAATAAGAATCATTAATATCTCAGTTGAATGTGACTTTATGAGATTAAAACATTGCAGGTTTGTCTTCCCCTGGCCTGTATTCACCGGTTTGTCTTCCCCTGGCCGGTATTCATTGGTTTATCTTCAACTGATGGTGATGTGTAAATAAATGTGTGTTTGTGTGTGCGTGAGAATCCACTTGCTTTTGTTGGAACACTGCTTGTCACGGGCACAGAACACATAAGCCCGCTACCTTAAACATAATTCAACATTCCAGTCCCAAATCAAACCCGTGTCATAGTGAATGAGAGACTAACTCATAAAAATGTATGTGCCCTTAACGCATCATGTCTTTTGGAAGCATGAAGCAAGGAGTACTGCACTTCTTATTAAGTTATTATAATTCCTTAATTTCAAACGAGAACGGTTTAACTAATAATCGAGCATGAAGTTATGCAAGCATTATCTACACCCACCTTTTGCAATTTTGAACCGAATTTGGAGATGTAATTTAAAGTCATAATTTAAACCAGATCAAAATTTAAAAGTGGTAAATAAATCGTTGATTTAGATAAATCATTCAGATAAGTCGTTGAAACCAAATGATACATTTCAGTGGATTTTCGGATTAACTTCTTTTTTTTTTAAGAATAGTATGAACTGGAGTTTCGATTCATATCAATCTCGTCCCGACCGTGCCGGGTCTCCTGAAAGGCGACTGCAAAACTGAAATGCGTCTACATCCGAGTCGAGTGAGAGGAGGGGGGGGGGAGAGCTGAGTGGCCTCATTGGACGCAAGTTGACCTTCGTGATCCACTTGATCGTGTCGAAGTAGGCCCCCTCACGCATACACGGGGTGATGCATACACTTTTGAGGGATTCCCATTGGAACGAGTAAGAATGCATGGTATCTTCGCCAATAGAAAATTTGATGCGTTTAAACCGCATCACATGGAGAGCATAATTTTTCATACTCAAATTGCATCCATTTCATGGACTGAAGATTGTGTGTGTAGTAGGAAACTTTCATGAGGAAACTGTGGCTTGTATGCACACAGCGAATACGAATGGCTTATCTCAACAACGGCAATGAATGCATGTATGCTGGCCCTTACGGAAATGTCCTATAGGAAACCTATAGTTATTTCTTATAGGAAACCTATAGACTTTCCTATAGGTTTTTGAAACACGAAAAACCTATAGGATCCTTTAGGATCCTTCTATAGACTTTCCTATAGGTTTTTGAAACACGAAAAACCTATAGGATCCTAAAGGATCCTATAGGATCCCTATAGGGTCTTATAGGTCTCCTGACCTATAGGATTCAGGGAGGAAATTTTGGGTTTCGAAACCCAGGCATTACGACGGATAAGGCGACCGGGGATAATATTAGCGCAGCATTTCGGTGTAAATAAAAAAAACGATTATGGGTTTCTCCATGGTAGGGATATATCCATTATTAATACCACTACTACGGGGGTCTGCATAATTTATGGCCCCGCCCCACGTGTCGCTGGCTTGCACATCTACTTCCTTTGGCAGAAAGAAGTGGTATTCTTCTCTCGACCTAAGGAAATAGAAGACAGAACCTGCGAGCACGTTTCTTTACTAAAACTCCATCTGGATAGAGTCTTCTCAGCTTCGTACGTGGCTTTCAAAAGGAATAAGGGCATATTTCTTCACGGGACTCCATGATTATATCTGGAAGATGGGGATGACAAATAAGGAGCTGTCAAAGTCAATTGATTGCTACAATGAGGCAAGGAGAGACATTAGGGGACATACAAAACTCTCTTGTGAGAGATGATTCTATGGGTAAGGGGAGGGCACTTTTGTGCCCTTTGAGAAATGTGACAACCCTATACTTCCATCTAGTGGCCTAGAGGAGAACTTGAAACGGAACCCTATAGGCCTATAGGGTTCCGTATAAGCCCTATAGGTGACCCTATAGGTCCTATAGGGAACCCTATAGGTCCTATAGAGAATCCTATGAGTCCTAAGGAGAATCCTATGAGTCCTATGAAGAATCCTATAGGTCCTATAGGGAACCCCATAGGTTTTATAGGGAACCCTACGGGTCCTATACAGAACCCTTTGGGTCCAATAGGGAACCTATAGGCTTTATGGGGAACCCTATTGGTTCTACGAGGAACCCTATAGGTTCAAAAGGGGATCTATACGTTCTATAGGGAATTCAATAGGTTCAATAGGGGACTCTATAGGTTCTATAGGGGACTCTAAAGGTCCGAAACTGAACTCTATAGGGCATATAGGATCCTATAGGATTCCTATATATTCCTATAGGAATCCTATAGACATTTTCGTAAGGGATCGTTTCTCGAAAAAGGGCGTTTTATACGGAGAGTACCTAATTATTGCTGTGGGGCTTGTTTTTTGGTTTTATTCTCCACACGCATTTCCGGCAAACGAGGTAGAGTAGAGTATGTATTGAGAGGCGACATTCCGCACAAATCCCATTCATTGACAAGGTTGCAATATACGGTAGATGTCACTGTCGATCCTCCACCCAGCGTGCGCACATCAACAATCCCTCCATGGCCGAGCAGCGGACTCGACGAGACACGCGTGTTACGTTGAGGGATCCCTTTGGGTCGAATCCCTGAATGAGCCGATTCCCGATTCCACTGCCATGAAGCACGCCTAACGAAAGTGATGTTGATAACAAGCCATCAGATGACTGCAATATTTCAATCTCCCCACCAACCCTCTGAGTGTTGCCTTTAGTTACACTGTCTACCCTATGTCTCTGGCACAGAGGAGGAACTGCTCATCTGATAAATATCATATCGGAGAGAGATCTGCGCTCCAGAAAGGAATCTCCCTCGCTCTCTAACATGAAGATACTATCATTCCCATTCGAGGAACGGTAGTTCTAACGATCACAATATTGGTCATGCGATTGCCTGTGACTCCAGTGACAGACAAAGTTTACTTGGGACGAATGCAACCCTTTGATGCTGTTCGGGAATATTCAATTTCCGTCCTGGATGTACATTCAGGCAGCGCATGATTTAAACTGTTTTTGATCGCTTCAGATATTCCGGACATTTGAACAGTGAAGGGGAACGTTGGCAACACATGAAATGAAACGTTCATTGGACAATCATTCAACGTTCCGGTGCTACTTGGGGATGGAAACATTCTCACGAAAAAAATTAATCTCCGCAGAGATAAGGCTATACTGGACAGAAAGGGAATGATGAGGCTCGTCACAGAACAAGGGTTTTAATTTTGGAACAAAAGCCTCTTCACATTCTCATCCTAAGCTTCGAAGCAGGAGACAACAGCGAAAGTCTGACATTCGTGTTCGATGAGTTCCTGGAGGCAATCCATTATATCTCCCGGCTAATGAGGAATTTCTTGAAGACGTCAAAAGCTGAAGGCATCGTAGCTTTACTTATAAAAACTCATATGAATAAATTTCAAAATGTCAGTGGTTTCTCCAGGCGTTTTCAGATTAGCCTTAAAACTCCGCGCCTCTCCATGTATAAAAGAATTCAATCTTATCAACAATGCATAAGCGTATGTGTCTGCTACAATACGAAAGTTCTTCAAAACATCGCGTTAAATTCCGTCTTGTTGACATCAATTGGCAAATTCCTATTTATTAAGTTCATTTAGAGAATAAGAAGTTAAATCCCGCTATCTTACGACTGCCAGGTGACGATTGGGTCCTTTAACCAACAGGATTAACTGGTAGCGAATCAGAGCTCGCGATAGATACCTTGACCCCTCGTACGGGTGAAACCTTGAGGTTGTCTATTGCTTTATTTCAGGTACTGGAATGTAGGACTTCGTATTTCGCTTATGAGTAGCTCATTTTTTAACGGTGCATTTAAGCACACGTCTGAATGAAATGTCATTCCAAACTGAAGTCATAACATTTATGTAGGATTAGAAGACGTAAATTGGATTCACATTCCACTCGTACATTCACTCTAGGGAGGATGAGTAGGGGTAATCCATGCCGGAGATCCGGAGATGGTAGATGGCATACTCAAACGCGTACATATCGAGGCCAGTGATGTAGTGGGTGGAGATGCCTGTTGGGGAACAGCACTGAAATCCCGGCTTGGCGGGATAGTAGGTGTAATTCTCGAACCACGGGGCAACGCCTGGATCGTCAGCGTAGGTGATGTGACCTTCCACTCCCAATGGGAAGAAGCGAGAGCGGCCCTCCGAATCTCGGTCGTCGCCTAAGGTCACCCCCACGCTCTCCAGGCATTCACCTTTCAAATTTTACAGCACTTCATAAAAAATCAGAAATTTAGATGGACCATGCAGTTTTTTTATGCGTGCAAAGGAAAACAAAAAACTCAATAAAAAGGCGTTCAAGAAAAAGGTAAGACTGGTTCTGAATTACTTCACTTACTACGATTCGGGTTGTATTTGTACATGAGGCAAAAGAAACTTGAATCTGGTTGAAGAAAATAAACTCCCACATCTAGACTCTAATATCAAAAGTCATGAACCACTTCCCAAATGATGACAATGGTGTCAGTGGGAGTCTCAGCAACCATCTGGCCTGTATTGCAGTAAGCTGCAAAATGTCTTGTGTTTCTTATAATAGGATGGCTCTTCTACTTTTTATTCTCATTAATTTTTTATGTCCTGCCTCTCGAGATGATTTCCGTTGGTCGTCCGGAACGGAGAATAACTTCCCTAGTTTCGCCGTAACTTTACCAAGACGTTGCTTACAGTTGATTTTGGGATGGCGTTTAGCTCTGGAGTATGGGGGACAGACACCACAATAGACCACTAATCATGGACATGGACTAATATGCAATTTACACATGCCTATTGTTACATCATTTAGTTTTAGGGTATTCTAAAAGTGTAGCATAAGAATCATCTTTGAAACTGGGAGCTTAGGGGAAATCCAGAATGAAAAAGTCATGCACGATAATTTTGGAGGGTGCTGTCACTTTTTAGTTGAGATCGATATTAAGGTAAAATGTATTTTGTTGTTCACAGAGTCAAAGGCTTTATAGTTTAAAGGCATACTTTTTCTTGTGAATTTTTATTTATTTATTAAGGATAGTTTTGAAAAATACTCACCCATTCTCCAGTCTTCATTTTCACTACTTGTTGCCGGACAGCTAGTGTTTTTCATAGGAAGCCCAAGTGTCACGAACCGGATCATGGCTGAACGACTCATCACGTAACCTGCCGGTAAATAGGCAATCAAGAGCAATTTATTATCATGAATATGCCAAAGCTCAAAATGTTTTATTTCCCCCCCCCCATATTAGTCAGCGAGTGACAAACCTGACTTGGTCATTTCGGTAAGTTAGATTCACCAAGATAAGTTCTGAGATTTATTTTGTTTCTCTCTTTAGAACATGAAATTACGACTACCCGGATGATGAGGCGATGTCGGCCTAAGCATTATCTTTATAATCTAGATTATAACTAGACCATAGTCACAGGCATCACATTGCCATTGTGAAAGCGATGTATTCGGTATTCTATCGCAGTGTCCAGGGTTTGAAATTCAACGGCTCTTTAAAGTATCATTCTGACATTTCACCCGTAGGTCATTTCATGCAAATTGAAACCAAGCAGTGATTTCGCAACTAAAATTTTTAGAAAGACAACAACTCGCATTGTTGATGAAGGCGACGACGCTCTCATCAACAATGAAGCTGTCTTTGGCATCATTAAGGATTTAGAAAGGAGCAAGAAGAAAGGAAAACCTTCTCTGGATTCCTTTTACTGTATATCGGCCACTAAAAGAGCCTATGGCTTCCTCTTTAACCTTTCCGTTCGGAAACGGCAAAGGGTCGCTTCCTAGACCCATGATCGGATTGAGGATCAAGTTCACAGATAAGATAAGAAAAACGGCTTCCAGATTGCAGTCGTATATATAACACGTAGCAGAAGGCGTATTAATGAAATTATTGATCATTATTCCCCCTTTGAGGGAGGAATTTCGAAATTTAAGAATGGAAATGATGAAATTGGCGTCATGAGCTCGTGTCGAATATCATACGTCGTGCAGGGACGATCGGAGGCTTTCCCCCCTGTTTTTGGACAGCGTTTGTCGATGTGATTCACATTGGAGTCATTGGCCTTCAGAGATAAAAACCCGGAGTATTCTAAGTTAGAGAATAAACAAATTAAAAGCAAAAGAATACTCTCTTTCTNGCAACCATCTGGCCTGTATTGCAGTAAGCTGCAAAATGTCTTGTGTTTCTTATAATAGGATGGCTCTTCTACTTTTTATTCTCATTAATTTTTTATGTCCTGCCTCTCGAGATGATTTCCGTTGGTCGTCCGGAACGGAGAATAACTTCCCTAGTTTCGCCGTAACTTTACCAAGACGTTGCTTACAGTTGATTTTGGGATGGCGTTTAGCTCTGGAGTATGGGGGACAGACACCACAATAGACCACTAATCATGGACATGGACTAATATGCAATTTACACATGCCTATTGTTACATCATTTAGTTTTAGGGTATTCTAAAAGTGTAGCATAAGAATCATCTTTGAAACTGGGAGCTTAGGGGAAATCCAGAATGAAAAAGTCATGCACGATAATTTTGGAGGGTGCTGTCACTTTTTAGTTGAGATCGATATTAAGGTAAAATGTATTTTGTTGTTCACAGAGTCAAAGGCTTTATAGTTTAAAGGCATACTTTTTCTTGTGAATTTTTATTTATTTATTAAGGATGGTTTTGAAAAATACTCACCCATTCTCCAGTCTTCATTTTCACTACTTGTTGCCGGACAGCTAGTGTTTTTCATAGGAAGCCCAAGTGTCACGAACCGGATCATGGCTGAACGACTCATCACGTAACCTGCCGGTAAATAGGCAATCAAGAGCAATTTATTATCATGAATATGCCAAAGCTCAAAATGTTTTATTTCCCCCCCCCCATATTAGTCAGCGAGTGACAAACCTGACTTGGTCATTTCGGTAAGTTAGATTCACCAAGATAAGTTCTGAGATTTATTTTGTTTCTCTCTTTAGAACATGAAATTACGACTACCCGGATGATGAGGTGATGTCGGCCTAAGCATTATCTTTATAATCTAGATTATAACTAGACCATAGTCACAGGCATCACATTGCCATTGTGAAAGCGATGTATTCGGTATTCTATCGCAGTGTCCAGGGTTTGAAATTCAACGGCTCTTTAAAGTATCATTCTGACATTTCACCCGTAGGTCATTTCATGCAAATTGAAACCAAGCAGTGATTTCGCAACTAAAATTTTTAGAAAGACAACTCGCATTGTTGATGAAGGCGACGACGCTCTCATCAACAATGAAGCTGTCTTTGGCATCATTAAGGATTTAGAAAGGAGCAAGAAGAAAGGAAAACCTTCTCTGGATTCCTTTTACTGTATATCGGCCACTAAAAGAGCCTATTGCTTCCTCTTTAACCTTTCCGTTCGGAAACGGCAAAGGGTCGCTTCCTAGACTCATGATCGGATTGAGGATCAAGTTCACAGTTTAGATAAGAAAAACGGCTTCCAGATTGCAGTCGTATATATAACACGTAGCAGAAGGCGTATTAATGAAATTATTGATCATTATTCCCCCTTTGAAGGAGGAATTTCGAAATTTAAGAATGGAAATGATGAAATTGGCGTCATGAGCTCGTGTCGAATATCATACGTCGCGCAGGGGCGATCGGAGGCTTTCCCCCTGTTTTTGGACAGCGTTTGTCGATGTGATTCACATTGGAGTCATTGGCCTTCAGAGATAAAAACCCGGAGTATTCTAAGTTAGAGAATAAACAAATTAAAAGCAAAAGAATACTCTCTTTCTCTTGGAATTCACGAAGCAATTTCTCTTGACTAGACTGAGTGCAGCATTGCTCTTGAATTACTCTGAAACTTGGTGCTATATAAGTTTTGCCGTAAAACAAGCGACTACTATATTCGCAAGGGTAATCAATCCGCCTACCTGTTCGACAAAGAAAAGTCAAAAGATGGAACTTTTCGAACCACTCTTTCAACCACGGCAGTCGTGATGACGTCTATTCCAACTTGACTTTGTAAGAAAAAAGCCTCTATCCCGTAACCAAACGCGACTTCCAACCAATACGAAACATCCACTTTGCATACATATATGGTTCCTGAGCGGTCTTAGAATATAATGATGCCAATTGTCATCAATCTCTGCGAATGGGTTTCTCTAAGTGAATCTAAGCGGCAGAGTCGTACTGGGCATGGTATAACTTAAAGGAAGACAGTATGTGTCAAACGCGGATCTCATCGTTAAGCTCTTACCTGATCCACCAGCGAAATATGCGCCGTTGGGGCGCTTGTACTTGTGTCCGAATGCAATGGGATCCTCCTTGTTTTTGGAAGCCAAGAGGGACCTCAGGTTCTCCATCACCACGTACCTGATCGAGTAATGCACACTCCGTCCTTCCTCGGTCCTCTTAATCGGGTTAAGAGAATTGGAGGAACGTACGCATCGTCGTCGACTTTAAAATACCAGTCAAAACCATCTCGATGGTGGTCGTGGACGTACTGCCAGGCGTTGCGGGTTTTGTGCCAAATGATGGAGCGACTTTCCTCGTTTTTAATCACCTCGATCGAAGGCAATTCTTCGTCTGTTGGATCCATAACGAATAATTCCAAATAAAAAATTATTCGGACGGAAGAAATGAAAATAGATAGCATGAACATGATATGAACAAGACGAATGCCCGAACGATATATACTACCCTCAATCAATCATGCAAGAATGTTCGTAATAAAAATGTTCCCAACTTATTCCATCAAATGAGCTTGCTTGACATTCTTTGCTAGCCTAATCTCTCATCATCTCTTCATCAGCGCAAAGAGCTCATTGAGGCCATAATACCATCGTTCCAACAAAGTTTAGCAAAAGATCCTCTTTGATTTTTTAGCGTTTTAAAATTCCTGTTTTATTCCGGCAGTTGACAAGTTTAGTTTCATTTTGCATGCCGTGAAATATGGAACTAAGCTTGCGCATGCGCCTTCACCAAAAGTAACATGTCACTGGGGATACTCAAATTTTACATTTCACCCAACCTTCTACGCGGCTCTCTACTCATTCTAAGGGTATTAATGCCACTGATTTAGAAACAGAGTGTAATATATTCAATATTATCCTATCCGAAATACATAGTTAATCGTCCTTAGGCATAATCATCATCGACTTGAAGAATGTTTGATCTGTGAATTGCTGGTGTTAGTAGATAGTGTAAAATTTCAGTTTGGTCCTGTAGATGCTGAGAATTTTAATCACCGGGAAGCGTTGCAATGCTTTCATATTTCAATAGTATTACGTTAAATATGAAAAATGAATCGAAAATTGAATGAAATGCTGCACCTTCAGGACAATTCCGAAGAAACTGGTACGAAATATGAGGCAGTTGATATTGAAGAGGTTCATGGCAAGGAAGAAAGAAATACATCAGGTTTCATGAAAGCCAATTTAGGCCGAATTTTTATGCTGCTTTCCTTTTTCATTCAGAGACTTAACGATTTTTGTACATAAAAGCAAGTTCCATTAGTAATAAAATAGGACACCTCGTTCGGTGCTGACGAAGAGGAGCTGGGTGCATTTCCTTCCCCAGGTCTTCTTCAGTGGGATGGCATGAGATTTCTTACGGGCCGGCTGCGTCAGTACCAAGCAGAAGATCTTCACGTCTTCAAATCCTGGAAAAAGATCATTTGATTTTCTTGCATCATCTCAAATACGCAATTACCTTTCCAGATGAACATGAAAATAGGATTCACGTTGGATCGACGTCTCTAGTTTCGACCTACAGGAAGCAAAGCAGGAAGAATTGTAAAATCCAACTCCCAAAGCTCGTAAAGATGGATTCCTACTTGCCAAGACCTCGGAATGCAGTGAAACCAAAGCAGGAAGAATATGACGAGAATCCCTCCAACAAATGACCAGAGTGCTCGCTTGTTGATCCTTCCAACTGCAGCTGAGATGAGAATATCATGAAGGAATGCAATGCCAATTACAGAATTGGCAAGAAATGTGAAGAGATGGATAAAAGGAAACAAAACACTGACGTTTCATGAGTGATCCCAGGCTGCGAAGCCTCACGAGAAATTTTTCTCGAAAAAGTTTCCTGGTAAATTTGTCTGCATGAAGAATTTAAAGCAATATATATAGATTCGAAAAGCGCAATGATTGAGATTAATTATATAATCAATGATCAATGAAAATAATAACTGAGGGTGCTGTGAAAGGAACATGAATATTGAAGCATTTCTTTCAAGACCCTCTGGCTTACCCCCTTTAGTGCTGCCAAAAACCCAAAACCCAAAACATGGCTAATAAAAAAACACACACCCCTCCCAAAAAAAGAAGAAAAAAAAATCATGAATATTGAAGCATTTCTTTCAAGATCCTCTGGCTTACCCCCTTTAGTGCCGCCAAAAACCCAAAACCCAAAACATGGCTAATAAAAAAACACACACCCCTCCCAAAAAAAGAAGAAAAAAAAAACGAACTTGTTAGTCATGGCAATTTCAGTATGTCTCAGTGGGTTCATAAGCATTACTCCACACGCCTGGTACAAACCAGGTTTGTTTTTGTGAATGTCGTCATAATATGTTTTGAAAATGTACCAGAACCAAAGCGAGTGGAATGGATGTATAATTAGGCAAAGAATAACAAATTATTGCAGAAATTGGCAAAAGGGGTGTGGAGGGAAGACCAGAAAGGTTTCTCCATTTTGGTAGAGCCAAAATCTTATTAAATTATATTTATTTACCAGGACGATCTCTTCCTTTGATTCGTCAAGCAAAATTAAGACAAAATACCCACTGGAAACACTGGACTTGTGAATTTGTTTGCCCTTCGGAAAGTCCTTCCAAACACTTGGGTACCCAGAGGTGTTCTGTGGTGCCGTGCCTCAATTATAGGAGTGTCCCTATATATGTATTCCTAGAACTACATGTTTACCAAATTTCAGTTCTTTTCACGCAAACGTGCCCTCGGAGTTTTTTCCATTGGTTTTACCAGAAATAATCAACTTGAGATATACTTGTGCTCCAAGTTTCAGTGTTCAACAGTACAGTATATCAACCCAATTCGCTGGTAAAAAATAAATTCTCAAGGAAAAATCTCTTCCAAAAATTTTTCCTGCGAGATTAAAGCAGGATTTTTTTTTCCTGAGCTCAAAATGCTGTGTGAAAGGAGTATGCCCAATATGATTTTATTTTGGCCCTTAAACAGAATTCAATGAGTCATATATCATTTGAAAGGGTGTCCTTTGCAGAGTAATACTCTTTTACTCTAATTTGAAGGGTTTGAAAGAATTAGGTTAGGAAAAAGTTATATTATTTTGCATGAGTTTTTTCATCAGAACGCATACTTTTAACAGTTTTGAAGAAGGGAACTGCAGACTAGCAAGAAAAAATCAATATAAATACCAATGAATCAAATTTGGTATAATCTGACTGTATCTAAGCATCATTAATTTTTAAATCATGAATCATACATGCTAGCTTTCTTGCTTGATTTTCCAAATCCCAGCTGAAGTTCACTGTTCACTTCCAAAATGATGTTCTTTCTAAGTTGTTAGAATGCGGATGGCATATATTAGAATTCCCAATTGAAAACAGCATGTTCATTTAACCTAACCAAACATAACCTTTTCAAATTGCTCAGATTTGAAAAAGAATTGTATTTTTAGGTTTGCATTCGGACGCTTTCTTGAAACGCACATATATTTGAATATGGTTCAAAGGCCGAAACTGGGCATACTCCTTTCAGAATTGTCACATATGATTGTTACGTTGGAGCGAATAAGATTTGTGATAAACGGCACCCCTAAAAATTGTAACCTACGGGAATGTATCCCGAAATAAGGATTTTTCCTGAACTCAGAAGTCTATGGGCTCCTCGTATGCCAAGTTTCAGCTTTTCATCAAATCTGGAACATGGCTAGAATTAAAATCACTCAGTTCGTCCCTCAGTTTCTTAGTCAGTCACAATCGTCCATATATATTGATATATATATATGTATATCATATTAACTCACTCTAAGATGAATCGAAGGCCAGCCCCGTGTCACAGAAGCAGCAGAGATGGCCTCATGACACAGATTTTCAACATTTGATACAGAGGTGGCAACATGAACCCACCAAGATAAGGGATTATGGGAACCATAAATCCCTTGCCATATCGTCTCGTATTACCGAAAGTTATCATGCGCAGATCCCTGTCGCATACATTTTCCTTCATCATTGCTTACAGGCCTTGGGATTGATCAAGTAGAGAATGGAAATGCATGCAAGAAAGTGCTGTACATAATCCGCGTGCATACTGATGGAAATTTGCCAACTGGGCAAATCTGTTGAATCGAATTATTACTCATGCATTCACGATTCGCAACAAGCACCTTGATGATGAATTTTCACATTTGAGACAATATTAAACATTTCCTAATCTGAACCTGCTCGAGATTTCTTCGACTCGCGGAACTGCACCCACTCCTCCCTCCTCTGTCCCTCTTCTATGAAACTGATACCATTGAGTGACAGAGATAAGGGTCTCTCGACCTCCACATATAATAGGAAGGATGGTAATGAGGCGAGCAATGAGAAAATGAGTATTGAGTCCAAAAGTAATGCGAGGCTTCTCTTGCATTGTGCTATTACGGGTGTATCTTATTGAAGGGTCTAATACCCATCAAAGTCAAGGCACAATGTTCATTTATTGTGGCAGTTTTTATTTTATACATCAGAGCTTATCGCACTGATCAATTCGAAATATCAATTCCAAAGTATTCCCATACGTTGTACGAGGGAAACATATCGGGTACAATATAAAAAATGCCTGGGGATTCATTCCAGTGGCATCAGGTTGCGAATTGCTGGAGTTAGCAGTTAGGCGCCATCTCGTGTCAGTTTGTTGGGACCTATTTTCTGTCGTGAATGTACTCATGTTCCAACAGGCAAGGGACCACGAAGTTGGTTTATTAAGACTGCCTGGACAGTACTTTGTTAAAACAACATGGAGACTACGATGAAGGCAACGGTACAGACAAATTTGATCTTGATAGCCTTCAATCGACTTCACTAACCCTGGAGTTGCCTATTTTGCTGAAAAGCGGTAAATCCACTGGAAACATTTATTCATAAGTTTCCGATTCGACGTTGTGAAAACTTTTTCACTGAGTATATGCAAACCAGGATTCCCCTATATGCACTAGAATATATTCCTGTATTTCCAAGGAAATACAGGAACATAGGAATATTACTCTTCGTTGCTTCCAGAATTTTTTAAATGTCCTTTTTGGAATGTTGCAGCCAAATGTTCTACATTCGACCATAAAATGGACATTTTTTCCCAGTGTCGTGTCTGAAAAGCCTGCTTCCAAATATCCATGGAAGACTCTCATCATGCAATTATGGAATGGCTGCTTTACATGCATGCATTGTATATAACATTCCATCCATTATTATTATTAAATATCCTATTGATTATTTGAAATTTCTTGTATTGGGAACGCAGGCAGAGGCCCTTTAGTTTCCGACTCGATTCATGAAGGATTCTGTCTCACCCATGAAAATTCCCCTTCATGGCATCCTCATGGAATCAGAGGACGGATTCCAAAAGTCTTCACCCGTACATGTGAATTTCCCTGTCGGACTCTGGGGAAATGAACAGCATGACACCTTCATCCCCGTTGGGGAAAAACTGCTCCGAAATGATGAACAAGTACACAATATGCTCTCGGAGAAGGAAAGTTTTATCTTGACGGGCTAAAAGCCACAAATAGACAGCATGCACCTACAACTTTCCAGAATACCTTCCCGAAAGTCATATTAAACGCTGACTAACGACTTGAATGTGCTCGCCGAAAGAGACACAGTTTAGAAAACGTGATGCAATTTGCTGAATGCGAAAGTTTCCGAATTAAATCCCCCCCCCCCAGGAAAAAATTCCACAAGACTATAAAGAGAAGTCCACATAACAGAGTAGCCATAGGGGGATCTTCCCGATTCCAATCAGCATTCTATTTTTCAATGTGCCTCGTGGATCACTTTTAATCCGAGAGAAAGTCACTTTTTAACACTATACTTTAAAATAAGTTTTCCAGGACGCATCGCATAGGGCTCCCCGTGTCGTAGGAGCAGCAGAGCAGGCCTCATCATGGATATTTAAAATTTGATGGGGGGGGGGGGAGAGAACTTAGATACCACAAGATGAGAAATTATGGAAGCCATAAACCATCTACCGCGTAGCCACATCCGAGAACCCAAAAGCTCACTCATCCCAGGATTCCGTTGTTATACACTGTCACATAAACAGGTTTTTTTTTTCGACACTTTCTCACAGTCTACTGACATTTCCTAGCTTAGGAGTCTTATGCACGCACGATAACGCCAAGTACGGGGTGTATCAAAATCTTTTTTGCTTTTGGGATACCGACCAGAGGAAAAATGATACGAGATATGAACAATAGTTCTATATCATTTTAAAGCTTTTTTTCCTGAACACAAGGAAATGGTACATCAGCCATCAGTCATCAGCCTCACGCACAACCCTCAAACGTTGAGGGTAGGATTTCAGGGAATTTTCAAGCTGTTGCAAAATGAATGTCTCGGAGGACATTATAAAGGTGCTGAATGAGTATTGGAAATATCGGTCAGGACAACCTTCACAGATCATCGGTTCTTCTACGTAAAAGATGTCAAAATGTTCTCGGAGATCGTGAAATTTCTATAAATTTTGAATATAATCTGAAGCCATACTCTGAACGTTTGAGGGCTGAGCGTGAGACTAAAGGCAAGCACACAAGGTTTAAATATCTGCATACATAACGACCGGCAACTCTCTGTTTGATCGGATTTTGTCCAGTGAACTCCTCCCAGGTTTCTCAACCGATTTTCATCAGCAATAGCTCATTGGATTCGTAATTCGGTGTAGACATGTAAACTCATTTAAATGTTTTTTTCTGAGTTGGCCATTGACAACCTAGACGATGACGACCTTTCATATTAATTTTGGAGCCAAATTCCAGTGTGATACATCACTCGAACGTCCTCGACCTCCTCTGAATTCGTTTTCACATTCCAAAAATGTTGCCATTTGATCCTACTGTGGTGAATCTCTTCTTGAAAGTGCACTGGCGCCATCTCCGTACAGTCT